CCTAATGTTGTCAAAGATTACATAGAAAGACCCTTGATGGTAGAACATCCTGTAGAATTTATACCACCTCCCTTGATGGAAGAACATCCTGTAGAATATAAACCTCAGGAGACAGGCAATGGTTATATTGCTTACTTAAAACAAGACTGAGGTAGAATAGCCAATAATTGGATATTTAATTTAACTGGGTGCCGCCAGGAAGATGTAGATCAAATCATTGGAAGTGATTATCAATACTTGATCTTACAAAAAGAAAGGCATCCAGAAACTGGACAACTTCATCGTGTGAGAGGATTCATTCAAATGAAAAACAGGGTTCAAGGGAGATACATGTACAGAAAGATTCATAAATTAACCTGTTTTGAGATGTCTTACAGCACCCCAGAATTGGAAAGAACCTTTTATAGACAAGGTAACTATGAAGAATATGGAGTTCTAAAACCTGATGTGAGAAACAAAGAATTAGTTCCAAGAGATTGTAGATTTACCTGAATAAAAAAACTTGTTTTTTTTTTTAAAAAATTCTTGTTGTTGTTGTTCTATAAAAACAAGGGTGTTTTTAAAAAATAGATTCATTTTACATCATGAGTCTCCAGGAGATACAAGGTGATTTACTCGACTGTGAGGTAGAAGCTATTGTTCATCAATGTAATTGTTTAACTGTAAAAGCTCATGGATTGAGTCAAAGTATTGCAGAGAAATTCCCACAAGCTAATCTCTATGCCACTCGCAGACCTCTAGGGACTAGAAATTTAGCCGTAGAAGAAGATAGAGGAATTCCAGGCACTATTAAGGTGTTTACCTCACAAACCCCTGTGGTCATTTGTTTACTAGCTAAATGGGATTATGGAAAAGCAAGTCACCGACCTAAAAGAATTTCCACTTATCAGGATACCCCACAAAACAGAGAGCAATGGTTTCAAACTTGTTTACAAGAAATGGGGGAAAGTTTACCTTACAAGACTTATGCTTTTCCTTACAAGATTGCCTGTGGACTAGCCCAAGGAAATTGGATTCATAATAGACATTATATTGAACAATTTGTACACACTTATGAAAAACATGTGTACATTCTTCATCATCATCATTAATTGTATGTTTTCATGTGATGTAAAAAATAAAGAAGAAAAAAATACCTTTTTATCTGTCATACTCTGTTTTAAACCGGAGATGAATGTTCTCTGTAATCTCATGCACTCATAAGCAGATCTCTGGGGGGAGGCAGTAGAAACACTCAAGTAGTTTTTCTTCTTTCCCCTGTGATATAATGTCAAATAGTTAATGGAAAATTCAGAAATTCATCAGTAATTGGATTTAAAACTTGCTATCTTTATGATATTGATTTCCATTATCAGATTTATTTTTTATCCATTTTAAAAATATAAAACATTTTAAATAATTATCTTACTAATAATGAAAATAAATTAAAATGATATTTCATTGAAACTTTTAAGATTCAAGTTTTTGTTTTTTATCATAATTGATTCACTGTGTATTTCCCCAAAGGAAGACCAGCACCCAGGCTTCACTTCACTTAGAGAATGGAATATAGATGGTTAGGAACAAAACATATCTTCCAGGTTGAGGACTGTATAGAAAAAATAAAACCCATTTTTTGTTATTATGATTTAAATTACATGAGACCAGGCCTCTTATAAATGTAAGGCAAAAATAATATCTCTTATATATATGGATTCCTATATTCTAATAAAATGTCATTTGTAAAAAATGTATTTTTTTTTAAAGACAGATTTATTTAGGATCAACTTTTAAATGATGACATGAATAGCAGGCCATACTTTCAGCACATGACAAAACATTATCTCAAATTACACAGAAATGGGTTATTTAGCATAGCTGACATTAAACATATAGGTGAGGGATAACATAATCACAATTATAAACAATGTGAAACAACTTTAAACGACCTACACGGTGGATTACAAGCCTTTTTCACTGGGGTAAAATCTTTGCCGAAATTCGCCATGACCGCCGAACCCGACTGTATAAAGATGAAGTCATAAAAATAACATAACACTGATATAGTATTACATGATTTTTTTTTATTTTATTTCTTAAAAACTAACAATGCTTCTAACTGTCGAATTCTCCTCCGAAATCGTATTCGATCCGCTACTAGGGCCATCTAGGGACTTCTCCGGTCCTCGGGGGGTAATTCGTAGATTTGATTGAGGCTGTTATTAAACGTCACGGATTTCCTAGCCTGTGTGAAATTTCCAGGTATTTCATTCCGTATTGAATACATACTTTCTCCATCGCATCTATGTTCTGCCACAGTAAAATCACTTTGCCCGCTTGGGGATGGGTCAGGAAACTGTAAGGCTTTCCGAAATAACGGGTCAGGTTCAGTCCGTACCATTTCTGGGACAGAATTGTTTTCATATGTCGACATAGAAAATGTATGGTAGCTAGTCTCCCCATGGTCGTCGCATGATGTGATAAGGCTAGGCATTGTAACCACAAATCCTGAGGGGTTTCCATGATAGTGCTCGCTTCCTGAAATACTCGTTCTGCCTCCGGGGGTAGAGCCTCTTGGTGGTTTTGTGCCCATCGTACTAAACAATCATACCCATCCAAAATCAGAGAGTGAGTGTGTATCAGGGTTGACATGATAGTCGATTGTGAAGAAAGGATCAGATTTTTCTTCTCATTTATATTGCCCGTAGAAAACGTAGGTAAAACGTATTTTAGCACACGGCCCTGACTTGAATCGCTGCCAAGTATTACCTGTGTAGTCAGCATATTTTTTTGCACACGGGCCCCTGACTTGAATCGCTGCCAAGTATTTACCTGTGTAGTCAGCATATTTTTTTGCACACGGGCCCCTGATTTGAATCGCTGCCAAGTATTACCTGTCTAGTCAGCATAAAAAAAAAACGTAGGTAAAACGTGCACACACCCACACCAGGTATATGAAGTGCAGCTGGAATTTGACGATTATTCTTGCTTGGCATTTCGAACTTGACAGACGTGAAAAATATTATGGCAGAAGCAATGATGAATACCCCACACAACCCCAGCTATGTGATACCTGAAGGGTATGTAGGAGCCCCCATGCCAGAGTCACAGGATGCAGTGGGATTAGATTTGGGTATGTATAATCTTCCAGCATATGCGAATAAAGAAGATATGGACATGTTGAATACAACTCTGGCTGGGATTGTCAACATGCTGTCTGGTCTTGACAACAAGCTGACTGATCTGAAAAGTTACATCACTAAAATGAAAGGAGGAAGCACTTACCAGAAAAAAGAAGGACAAGGGGGATCGGGAGAAAAAAAAGAAAACTAGACAGACGGATCCATGCTACATCTGCAAAGAGTTAGGGCATTGGGCCCCAGATTGTCCCCGAAAAAAACAGGATTCGTGCTACAAGTGCGGGAAATCTGGTCATTGGGCTAATCAGTGTACAGAGAATGAGGAGGATCAACAATTTGTCAAAGAAATACAAAAACTGGAGAAAAAGCCTCAGGAACCCAAGAGGAAACTACCCCTGATGACTGAAAAGGCCCAGAAGAAGAAAAAGTAAATGATTGTATTTTCATTCTGAATAGAATTGCTGTGTTCTTTGTTTTGTCTTTTGTTATTTGTTATTGTTTTGAGGAAATCCAGTTTAAACTGGTTTTAGGCTAGGCTGAGCTTTTGACTGTGAATGCGTGACGTCACAATAACATTCTTGAATAGTTGCCAAAATCGTAGTAGCAGCGTTGTGAATCGTCATAGCAGCGTAGTGTATCATGTAAACATAGTGTAAACACACCCCTATATTTAGGGCTATATGTACTGAATTGACCCAGCTATCCCCCAGACCCCCTAATCTGTACTCTCTTGACCCACCTATCCCCCACAGGGGCTGCACTCCCTTGACCCACCTATCCCCCACAGGGGCTGCACTCCCTCGACCCGCCTATCCCCCACAGGGGCTGCACTCCGTTGAACCCCCTATCCCCCCAAGGGGCTGCACTCGCTTGACCCGGCTATCCCCCCAGCCCCAAAAGTGCACTCAGTTGACCCGGCCATCCAGGCGCCTTATACTACTCTGAAGGTTTGGCTTACACGTACTTGTTATTATGACGTCATTTACGTAAAATGACGTTGATTCTAACCGTTGCTGCTGAAATGGACGAGTAGTATCTCAATATATTGAATTTATGATAGTATGAAAATAAACTTTTGAAATGAAATCGTGTACATAGAGCATATTCAATAGTAATAATACCGGTATTATAGGCCTAAGTAACAACTCATTTATTTGAAAATTCATGGCGTCATCGCTTGTGTATGAAATTCACTTTGTTAAGGTCTTCCGTTTCCAACGGAAGACCTTCTACTGATTCTGTTGGTAAAGATTATTATTCTTTTTTTTTCCTTCTACTTCCTAGACGCCAACTTTGAGGCCTCATATCTCACTCATTCATCAACGGATTTCATTCAAATTCTCAGACATTGTAGACATTATTAAACTCTATCAGAGTGCTATCTAACATTTCAAAAATTTACTTCCGCTTTTGAGTTATTCCCCTTTAAACGAAAATTTATAGGCTTTCGTTTCCGGATAAAGGCTCAGAGACCACAAAAGCTGGAGCAGAATTTTTACTGATTTTAGGTAACAGAAGGATTGAAGTTGTGTACATCGGTTTTTGTTTTTCGATTTCTGTATTCAAAATGGCGTAAAATAGGGGTAAAAAATTAGAACGCCTAAAAGAGCGAAAATTTACACATATTTTCCTTTTTATCTTGAAAACTAAAATATTTTGTTAAGACAAAATAAACAACAGTTGTGCATAATTGCAAGGGCTTTCATATAATAATATTGAAAAGGGGCTGGCCCCTATAATTAGGGATCAAGGGACTTTGAAAGTTTTTGCTTTATAACTCAAAAACGGTAAATATTTCGAAATGACTATCGATTAAAAAGTTGTGTTTTAACATCTTACTGATCTCATGAAATTGTTATTGTGTTCGAGTCTTGTTTTTAATGAGCTGGTACATGACCTATATATGCACAGGTAATTCTTTTCACTCAGCACGTAAATGAGAGCTCCTCATGCGTGTAACAAAAGCAAGCTTACTATAAATTATAAACATGGCTACATTGGATGCTAATATTCTTCAGAATAAAGTTCTTGAAGTGTTTTTGCTTTTTTTCTTACAAATTATAATGTTTTTCACTGACAACTTTCCCTTCTATTTCATTAAAAAAAAACAAGTCTACTAAAAAGGGAAGAAATATAATCTTTTCTTCTTATCACATAAAACCAAATATAGTATTCCTGTGGCTTACATGATTGTGATGGCGGATATACAGAAATACTATGGTAAAATTCCGCACGTTTATTAGTTAGTGGTCGCCAAATATATAACAAGAATACAGTGACTTACAGAGGATTGGTAACACGTCTTGTCAGTTCAACAATCAGCACAAGAGAGAGAGGGTGTTACGTCATAGTCCGCATCAGTGCAGGACACGTGATCGGAGGCTACTAGGGAATTCGTCCCCAGCTCCTCCAGGACCACTACACAGCTCCCCATTTTATAACAGGGCGTCCCAGCCCGTAATATATGTATACAATGGGGCAACTAAGATGTACAAACAATAATAATAATTAACACCTAACAGGGCCTATCTTACAAACATACACATGCATTCACACAATAATAAAGCTTTAAACATTAATGTTTCTATAATAAAAAAAATCACAGATTTAACAGTTCATATCACACAGTCACTCATCCTCCGCGTCGTCTCGGAACACCACGAGGTCCCTCGTTGTAACCCTCCGACTCATGTCGTCTACCAAGTGGTCCAACGTTGATATATCCGTTCACTTTGACGCCCCCCCCTTTCCGTTTCAAAACTTGCACAAGGAGAAGTTTCAAAAACACCAACAATGATATTCATCAAATGCAGACTGTTCAACCCTGAGGATCTTTATTTCAGAACTCAGGGAACAAAAACCATAGATAAAAATATGTTTTTAAAAAACTTTATTGATTGTTATGGAGATGTCGCGATGTACAGAGGAAACGCGGTCGACTTGGCAAGTTCTTGAATCTGGAATAGAAAAAAAAGTTATCAGCATTAACATGATTAAAACAGGTTCAAAATTTAATAATCAAGTTTTCTATGAAATAAAAGATGTGTTTTTGTTAAAAGTTAAAAGCTTAGGGAAATTTTTTTTTTCAATGCAGATTATATAGAAGATCAAGAGTTGTCTTTCCGCGAATTGTGTCCCTTGAATTATTTCCCTTGTAAGAGTCATCAAAGCGTTTGAAATCGGAGTTGTGTATTGAGGAGAGATTAGCGTACACAAAAACATAAAAAGTGCAAGGGCAAAACGATGATGAATTGAGATAAATTTTACAGGTATTGTTTTATTATCGAACGGTTTCTCGGAAAAGTGATGCTCATTTGTTGAGAATGTCGCATTTAATTAATAATTTAATGTTAAAGTTGGAAAATGCCGACCTTGATGGGACACTGCTCAACTTTTAACTTAATTTATAAAAATGTGCTGCATTTCCACTGTATGAGCATTGATTTTCTTTAATTTTGGAGAATTTCGTATGTGATAATTTAAAAAATGGGAACCATGGCGCTTGGCTTGCCCTTGCACTTTTCATTTGAAATTGAACCTATGTATTTTCAGTGAAGAATTGGTTACCTTGTCACGTGAAAGTCACGTGACTGACCTAGTTATATGCTTGAGTAAGATCAATCCATGTAGAATGTATATGAAAAGAAATGTGTCATATGGCATTAATTTATGGGGGTAAAAAGTTTAATTTGCGTACCCCCTTGTTTCTGGCAGTGTTTACAAGCCGTATGTTGCCTTAACTGTACTGCGAAACGCAGTCTAGGAGATTCTGAATTCCCATCAGATAAATAATAGAGAAGTCCTTCAATTTCCAAAAATTTCTGTTCTTCAAATTTAGTAGCCTTACCTCTTTCGATTCTTTCACTTAACTTAACAATTTGTT